CCCTGGGTGTATTGTAGGTGTGGGAGGGGGCCCCTAGTGTGAAGGTCCCTGGGTGTGTTGTAGGTGTGGGAGGGGGCCCCTAGTGTGGAGGCCCCTAAGTGTGTATGGTGTGGGAGGGGGCCCCTAGTGTGGGGGCCCCTGGGTGTGTTGTAGGTGTGGGAGGGGGCCCCTAGTGTGGAGGCCCCTGAGTGTGTTGTAGGTGTGGGCCCCTAGTGTGGGGGCCCCTGGGTGTGGGGACCCCTAGTGTGGGGTCCAGGTTCGTGTGACTGTTAGGTGACTGTGAAGATTAACTGTCCCGGCCGTCAGTGGTGGTGAGTGCATGGCGAGGCAACACGTCGGAGGTCAGAGCGTTGTGTGGCTGTGTCTGTGGTGGTGTGGCTGTGTTTGTGGTGGTGTGGCTGTGTTTGTGGTGGTGTGGCTGTGTTTGTGGTGGTGGGGCTGTGTTTGTGGTGGTGTGGCTGTTTTGGTGGTGTGGCTGTCTGTGGTGGTGTGGCTGTGTTTGGTGGTGTGGCTGTCTGTGGTGGTGTGGCTGTGTTTGGTGGTGTGGCTGTCTGTGGTGGCGTGGCTGTGTTTGTGGTGGTGTGGCTGTGTTTGTGGTGGTGTGGCTTGTTTGGTGGTGTGGCTGTCTGTGGTGGCGTGGCTGTGTTTGTGGTGGTGTGGCTGTGTTTGTGGTGGTGTGGCTGTGTTTGTGGTGGTGTGGCTGTGTTTGTGGTGGTGGGGCTGTGTTTGTGGTGGTGTGGCTGTTTTGGTGGTGTGGCTGTCTGTGGTGGTGTGGCTGTGTTTGGTGGTGTGGCTGTCTGTGGTGGTGTGGCTGTGTTTGTGGTGGTTGTGGCTGTGTTTGTGGTGGTGTGGCCGTGTTTGTGGTGGTGGGGCTATGTTTGTGGTGGTGTGGCTGTCGGTGGTGTGGCTGTGTTTGTGGTGGTGTGGCTGTGTTTGTGGTGGTGTGACTGTTTTGGTGGTGTGGCTGTCTGTGGTGGTGTGGCTGTGTTTGTGGTGGTGTGGCTGTTTTGGTGGTGTGGCTGTCTGTGGTGGTGTGGCTGTGTGTTTGGTGGTGTGGCTGTCTGTGGTGGTGTGGCTGTGTTTGTGGTGGTTGTGGATGTGTTTGTGGTGGTGTGGCTGTGTTTGTGGTGGTGTGGCTGTGTTTGTGGTGGTGTGGCTGTGTTTGTGGTGGTGGGGCTGTCTGTGGTGGGTGTGGCTGTGTTTGTGGTGGTGTGGCTGTGTTTGTGGTGGTGTGGCTGTGTTTGGTGGTGTGGCTGTCTGTGGTGGCGTGGCTGTGTTTGTGGTGGTTGTGGCTGTGTTTGTGGTGGTGTGGCCGTGTTTGTGGTGGTGTGGCTGTGTTTGTGGTGGTGTGGCTGTCTGTGGTGGTGTGGCTGTGTTTTGGTGTGGCTGTGTTTGTGGTGGTGTGGCTATGTTTGTGGTGGTGTGGCTGTCTGTGGTGGTGTGGCTGTGTTTGTGGTGGTGTGGCTGTGTTGGTGGGTGGTGTGGCTGTTTTTTGGTGGTGTGGCTGTCTGTGGTGGTGTGGCTGTGTTTGTGGTGGGTGGCTGTGTTTGTGGTGGTGGCTGTGTTTGTGGTGGTGTGGCTGTTTTGGTGGTGTGGCTGTCTGTGGTGGTGTGGTATGTTTGTGGTGGTGTGGCTGTGTTTGTGGTGGTGTGGCTGTGTTTGTGATTGGTGGCTGTGTTTGTGGTGGGTGGGGGCTGTATGTGGTGGTGTGGCTGTGTTTGTGGTGGTGTGGCTGTGTTTGTGGTGGTGTGGCTGTTTGTGGTGGTGTGGCTGTGTTTGTGGTGGTGTGGCTGTGTCTTTGGTGTGTGGCTGTGTTTGTGGTGGGTGGCTGTGTTTGTGGTGGTGTGGCTGTGTCTTTTGGTGGTGTGGCTGTGTTTGTGGTGGTGTGGCTGTCTGTGGTGGTGTGGCTGTGTTTGTGGTGGTGTGGCTGTGTTTGTGGTGGTGTGGCTGTCTCTTTTGGTGGTGTGGCTGTGTTTGTGGTGGTGTGGCTGTGTTTGTGGTGGTGTGGCTGTGTTTGTGGTGGTGTGGCTGTGTCTTTTGGTGGTATTTGCCTTGTCTGTGGTGGTGTGGCTGTGTTTGTGGTGGTGTGGCTGTGTTTGTGGTGGTGTCGCCGTGTTTGTGGTGGTGTGGCTGTGTCTTTTGGTGGTGTGGCTGTGTTTGTGGTGGTGTGGCTGTGTTTGTGGTGGTGTGGCTGTGTTTGTGGTGGTGTGGCTGTGTTTGTGTTGGTAGGGCTGTGTTTGTGGTGGTGACTGTCTGTGGTGGTGTGGCTGTGTTTGTGGTGGTGTGGCTGTGTTTGTGGTGGTGTGGCCGTGTTTGTGGTGGTGTGGCTGTGTCTTTGGTGGTGTGGCTGTGTTTGTGGTGGTGTGGCTGTGTTTGTGGTGGTGTGGCTGTGTTTGTGGTGGTGTGGCTGTGTTTGTGTTGGTAGGGCTGTGTTTGTGGTGGTGTGACTGTGTTTGTGGTAGTGTGACTGTGTTTGTGTGGTTGTGGCCGTGTTTGTGGTGGTGTGTCTGTGTTTGTGGTGGTGTGGCTGTGTCTGTGGTGGTGTGGCTGTGTTTGTGTTGGTAGGGCTGTGTTTGTGGTAGTGTGGCTGTGTTTGTGGTGGTGTGGCTGTGTTTGTGATGGTGTGTCTGTGTTTGTGGTGGTGTGGCTGTGTCTGTGGTGGTGTGGCTGTGTTTGTGTTGGTGTGGCTGTGTTTGTGGTAGTGTGACTGTGTTTGTGGTTGTGTGGCCGTGTTTGTGGTGGTGTGTCTGTGTTTGTGGTGGTGTGGCTGTGTCTGGTGGTGTGGCTGTGTTTGTGTTGGTAGGGCTGTGTTTGTGGTAGTGTGGCTGTGTTTGTGGTGGTGTGGCTGTGTTTGTGATGGTGTGTCTGTGTTTGTGGTGGTGTGGCTGTGTCTGTGGTGGTGTGGCTGTGTTTGTGGTAGTGTGGCTGTGTTTGTGGTGGTGTGGCTGTGTTTGTGGTGGTGTGGCTGTGTTTGTGGTGGTGTGGCTGTGTTTGTGGTGGTGTGGCTGTGTTTGTGGTGGTGTGGCCGTGTTTGTGGTGGTGTGGCCTTGTTTGTGGTGGTGTGGCTGTGTTTGTGGTGGTGTGGCTGTGTTTGTGGTGGTGTGGCCGTGTTTGTGGTGGTGTGGCTGTGTTTATGGTGGCTTTGTTTGTCGTGCCGGGGTAATGGTGATGTGGTCATGGTTTGTGTAGGCGACCAAGAGGTGGCGGTGATGAACATAAGAATGGAGGAAATTACAGCGGTCCTATTAATCCATACTAGGCAGTCCCGTACACACACACACACACAGACACACACCATGTGGGGAGCGGCCGAGAGATATGACCCGTAGATAACACTGTTTGGTTAAGTAACAATAGCGATCTACTACTACTACTACTACTACTACTACTACTACTACTACTACGTCCTTCATCCCCCCCCACTACCATTATCACTTCCACCACTACCATTATCACCACCACCATTATCACCGCCACTATCACCACCACTACCACTATAACTGGCACTACTGCTATAACCAGCACTACCACTATCACCATGGCCACCAGTTGACCCAATAATGGTGGGGGAGATAGGCCGTCACTATCCTCGTTGATGGCTATAGAGTTACCCAGGTCCCCCACCAATACCCTCCTGACCCCCCCACAAATACCCTCCTGACTCCCACCAATAACCTCCTGACCTCCACAAATACCCTCCTAACCCCCACCAACACCTACTGACCCCCACCAACACCCACTGACCCCCACCAATACCCTCCTGACCCCCACCAACACCTCCTGACCCCACCACACCACTGACCCCCACCAACACCTGACCTCACCAACACCTACTGACCCCCACCAATACCTACCTACTGACCCCACCAACACCCACTGACTGATCCCCCAATACCCTCCCACCAACACCTACTGACCCCCATCCTGACCCCACCAATACCCATCTGACTCCTAATACCCTCCTGACCCCCACTAACACCTACTGACCCCCACCAACACCTACTGACCCCCACCAATACCACCTGACCCCCATCAACAACACCTGACCTCGGGGCCAGACCTTGAATTTCTTGTTAATAGTACTGTATAAGTTAGGTCAAGCTAGGTTAGGTTAGGTTAGGACAAGTTAGGTTAGGTTAGGACAAGTTAGGTTAGGTTAGGACAAGCTAGGTTAGGTTAGGACAAGTTAGGTTAGGTTAGGACAAGCTAAGTTAGGTTAGGTTAGGTTAGGTTAGGTTAGGTTAGGACAAATTTGGTTAGGTTAGGTTAGGCTAGGTCTAGATGGATTTGTTTATTATAATTCGTAATAGTATTAGTATTAGTTATGTTGGTAGTAGTAGTGGTAAAAGTAGTAGTAGTAGTAGTAGTAGTAGTAGTGGAGGAACAGCTGTAGTGTTGTTAAGTATAAGTGGTAACAATAACACTTAAATATGACTCACGTAATCTTAAGTAAGTTAAATGACAACAGAAAACGGGAATTGTACTTGTTTAGTTTACTCAACAATCTTAAACAAAATCAAAAGAAAAACAAAACACTATCTCATATTATTTTTGTTTGTCTTTTATTATAAGACAAAATATTACGAGGAAGATTTGTATTATCTATATACATTTTAATAGAGAGAAAGTAGACTACCACAGAGACGTGTAATGACCAAACTGGCAACGTGTGGTAGTTTGTGGGGAGGAGGGGAGGTAGTGGGGGTGGGGGAAATGGAGAGGGGTGGAGGTAGGAGGGAGAGTAGGGGGATAGGGTAGGATGGGAGGTAGTGGGGGTGAGGGATTGGGGAAAGGAGAGGGATGGTGTAGGAGGAGGGGGAGGGGATGTCGGAGGAGAAGGAGGGGATGTGTTGTGGAGTAGGGGAGGTAGTGGGGGGTGAGAGGTGGGGGGAAATGGAGAGGGAGAGGGGTAGAAGGAGAAGGAGGGGATGTGGGATGGAGGAGGGGGGGAACTATACCCTTCCGAGTTGCCACATACCCAGTTTCTCAGCACTCACGGGGCACTAGAGTGTGCAGTGTGGTGGTAGCAGTGGCACTCAGTCTAGCTCGCTCGCCCCAGCTGTCCTGTCTGACCCTTGTGGCGGTAGACACACACACACACGGTAAGCACCCCTGAGGAGGAGGAAGAGGTGTCACTGGTATAAAAACAGTCACCTTTACCTACCTGGACGTGACAGTGAGTGAGACAGTGTGAGAGACAGACAGGGATAAAGAAACAGAGAAAGACAGGAGATTAAAGGAAGTGAGAATTGAAGTGATATAAAATCAAGTGTAATATTATTTTTATATATAAACCCGTGAATGTGAAAGAGACAGACAGACAGACAGACAGAAAGACAGAGACAGAGAGACGGGAGAGGAAAAAAAATATCTGGTCACTGGGTATATGAAGAGTGTATCATTTATGTTAAGATAAGTGTAAGTGCGTTTATATGACTCCAGGGTGTGTGTAGGTGTGTGTTTGACATTGAAGTGTACTGTATAACCTACAAGGGGTCCTGTGACAATGACTTCACGAGTGTATTTTCTGGGTGTAGAATCTGTGTAGGTGTTTGATGCAGGTTAAAGTGTAAGGTGTCGGTGTGTATGTGTGTGTGTGTATGTTGCTCTGTGTATGGCTGTGTATTTCTTATTGTGTTCAGTGTGACAAGAGACTGGTGTTGTCGTGTTTGTGTGGCCCGGGTGTAATTTAGGGTGTATTCTTGAGTGAGTTTTTAGTTTAGTGTGTCAAGTGTGTGTAGGTGTAGTGTGACAATTAATATATAGAGGAAGTGTAGGCGGCAGAATGGTGTAGCACAGTGTACTTTCTCTCCCCCGCCCCCCCCCCTTCCTGGGTGTAGAAGTGTATTCCTGGCACTTAGGTGTAGTGCGTGAGTGTATAATGTATGAAATCTTGTTAGTAGGGGAGTGTTTTAAGTGTATGCTTGAGTGTGTATGTTTATGTGGGTGTATATATGCGCGCTTGTGTGTATTTTGCATGCGTGTATAATTATTTTTTGGGTCGTGTGTATGATAAATGTTTGTATCTACGATTATTTATATGTGTACTTCTGTGTGTGTGTAATAATAATAATAATAATAATTAACGGTTTATTGAAAGAGCTTGGCAACCAGAAGGCTGAAAATATACAGTTACATATTTGGGGAATGGGTTACGAATTACAAATAATATACAAGTAACATAAGTGATACAAATAAGACATATAATAACTTAGATGGGGAAAAGCTCAAACTACAGTGCATTTCAACATAGTGACAGTGCAAGAAGTAGGATTTACAGGGAGTGAATACACTGGTTTATTACAAGTTATTGATAATTTTTACAATGGTTGGGACTGGGCTGTTCTTATAGCGATCAGTTCGTGCACGTATGGGCTGGATGCGGTTGTGGTGTCGAACAGCAATTCTCGGGCTTGGGATCTCAGGTGGTAGTAGGAGCCGGTGTCGAGGATGGTGTAGAAGCTTCTTACCAAATTTGCAGATGAGGTCGTGGTGATGGTCAGTGAGAGTCGAAAGGGTCAGTGTGTTGAGCGCTTCTTGATATGTGGAGTAGGAAGGGAGAGAATAATCTTGCATGCCCTCTTTTGCACTTTTTCTAGGTGTTTACGTTGTGTGGCATTTAGGGAGGAAGACCAGGTAGGGGAGGCATGGGTGAGCTTGGGAAGTATGAATGTTGTGTAAACACTGAGGAGCTCGGGTGCAGGAACTCCGAGGGACTTGAGTCGGCGGAGGAGGTGGAGACGGAAACTGGAGGATTTGACAACTTCACTGACGTGTGGTTTCCAATTTAGTTTGTTGTCTATGGTGACGCCGAGGAGCTTCGTGGAATCTACAACCTGGAGTGTGTTCGGATCTAAAGTAATGGAAGGAGGTGGGACAATGTCGGAGGAGAGGTTCATGTGCATAACCATGGTCTTGGTATGGTTGATGGTGACATGGTTGTTGGTGGCCCAGTTTTGGAGACTGTTCAATAAATCCTGAAGGGCGGTATAGTTGGGAGCAGAATTGTTGACGCTGTGTGTGTGTGTGTGTGTGTGTGTGTGTATGTATGTATATATGTATATGCTGATAACCACAAGGAAAGAAGAAAACACGAAATTCCCAAGCGCTTTCGTGTAATTCACATCTTCAGGGGTGAGTACTCAGTCTGTACTCACCCCTGAAGATGTGAATTACACGAAAGCGCTTGGGAACTTCGTGTTTTCTTCTTTCCTTGTGGTTATCAGCATATACCTAGATCACGCGCACCTACAGTGATTTACTTGCATATATATATATGTATGTATACCAGTGTGCATAACTATAAAATAACTACATAAAGACCATTGTTTACACATGATCTCAGATAAGTACAATAATACCAATTGTTTACTTCTGTCTACAACTCATTTTATCTACACATTGTTTACACTCTATCTCCACGTAAGGTATAAAACACATTCTGGCCACCATTTTTTAGCCAAGTTTAGTGAAGTTAATGGTAAGTTATGGCTCCATTGTTCTCTTGAGGCCATTATTACACCCCATTATTGTCCTCCTCGTCACTGTTGTTCTCCTCGTCACTGTTGTCCTCCTCGCCACTGTTGTCCTCCTCGCCACTGTTGTCCTCCTCGCCACTGTTGTCCTCCTCGTCACTGTTGTCCTCCTCGTCACTGTTGTCCTCCTCGTCACTGTTGTCCTCCTCGTCACTGTTGTCCTCCTCGTCACTGTTTTCCTCCTCGTCACTGTTGTCCTCCTCGTCACTGTTGTCCTCCTCGTCACTGTTGTCCTCCTCGTCACTGTTGTCCTCCTCGTCACTGTTGTCCTCCTCGTCACTGTTGTCCTCCTCGTCACTGTTGTCCTCCTCGTCACTGTTTTCCTCCTCGTCACTGTTGTCCTCCTCGTCACTGTTGTCCTCCTCGTCACTGTTGTCCTCCTCGTCACTGTTGTCCTCCTCGTCACTGTTGTCCTCCTCGTCACTGTTGTCCTCCTCGTCACTGTTGTCCTCCTCGTCACTGTTTTCCTCCTCGTCACTGTTGTCCTCCTCGTCACTGTCACCTCCTCTGTTGTCACTGTTGTCCTCCTCGTCACTGTTGTCCTCCTCGTCACTCCCTCGTCACTGTTGTCCTCCTCGTCACTGTTGTTCCTCCTCTCGTCACTGTTGTCCTCCTCGTCACTGTTGTCCTCCTCGCCACTGTTCCTCCTCGTCACTGTTTGTCCTCCTCGTCACTGTTGTCCTCCTCGTCACGTCACTGTTGTCCTCCTCGTCACTCGTCACTGTTGTCCTCCTCGTCACTGTTGTCCTCCTCGCCACTGTTTTCAGTCTCTGTATCAGCTTTGACTTTTCATAGCAAATTCTGGAGTTGATATCGATTTATTTTCTTTCTTTATTGTTTGATTGTTTATTGTGGGGGGGTGAGGGAGGGGCATGGGGGGAGAAGGGGGAACGGGTACTGTTTGTTTGTTTGTTTGTTTGTTTGTGAGTGTTTTTCATTTTAATTGTTTATTTACTTTTCTGGGGAGGGTGGAGGAAGTTTTTGATGGAGTGATTGTTCATTAAATAAGTCTCTCTCTCTCTCTCTCTCACACACACACACACACACACACACACACGTCAAGTTGCCTCCTAACTCTTTGTCTTTTTTGTTTGTCACTCTCACTCTCTCTCTCTCTCTCTCTCTCTCTCTCTCACTCTCATCCACTGCCGCATTATTAAATATCATGGCCACTGGACAACCGTCTCATCCACTTAGGGTTAAACTTATCCACTTGGTTGAGCTCATCCACTAGGTTAAACTTATCCACTTAGGGTTAAACTCACCCACTAGGTTAAGCTCATCCACTTAGGGTTAAACTCACCCACTAGGTTAAGCTCATCCACTTAGGGTTAAACCCACCCACTAGGTTAAGCTCATCCACTTAGGGTTAAACTCACCCACTAGGTTAAGCTCATCCACTTAGGGTTAAACTCACCCACTAGGTTAAGCTCATCCACTTAGGGTTAAACTCACCCACTAGGTTAAGCTCATCCACTTAGGGTTAAACTCACCCACTAGGTTAAACTTATCCACTTAGGGTTAAACTCACCCACTAGGTTAAGCTCATCCACTTAGGGTTAAACTCACCCACTAGGTTAAACTTATCCACTTAGGGTTAAACTCACCCACTCGGTTAAGCTCATCCACTTAGGGTTAAACTCACCCACTAGGTTAAGCTCATCCATCGTAGGGTTAAACTCACCCACTAGGTTAAGCTCATCTACTTAGGGTTAAACTCACCCACTAGGTTAAGCTCATCCACTTAGGGTTAAACTCATCCACTAGGTTAAACTTATCCACTTAGGGTTAAACTCACCCACTAGGTTAAGCTCATCCACTTAGGGTTAAACTCACCCACTAGGTTAAACTTATCCACTTAGGGTTAAACTCACCCACTTAGGGTTAAACTCACCCACGAGGTTAAACTTATCCACTTAGGGTTAAACTCATCCACTAGGTTAAACTTATCCACTTAGGGTTAAACTCACCTACTAGGTTAAGCTCATCCACTTAGGGTTAAACTCACCCACGAGGTTAAACTTATCCACTTAGGGTTAAACTCACCCACTACTTTAAGCTCATCCACTTAGGGTTAAACGCATCCACTAAGGGTTAAGCTCATCCACTAGGGTTAAACTCATCCACTTGGGGTAAAACTCATCCACTAAGGGTTAAGCTCGTATCCACTAGGGTTAACTCTCATCCACTAAGGGTTAGACTCTCATCCACTTGGGGTTAAACTCATCCACTTAGGGTTAACTCATCTACTTAGGGATAAACTCATCCACTAAGGGTTAAGCTTTCATCCACTAGGGTTAAACTCTCATCCACTAAGGGTTAAACTCTCATCCACTAGGGGTTAGACTCCTCCACTAGGGGTTAAACTCATCCACTAAGGGTTAAACTCATCCACTAGGGGTTATTCATCCACTAAGGGTTAAATTCATCCACTAGGGGTTAAACTCTCATCCACTAGGGGTTAAACTCTCATCCACTAGGGGTTAAACTCCTCCACTAGGGGTTAAACTCATCCACTAAGGGTTAAACTCATCCACTAGGCGTTAAATTCATCCACTTAGGGTTAAATTCATCCACTAGGGGTTAGACTCTCATCCACTAGGGGTTAAACTCATCCGCTAAGGGTTAAACTCGTTCACTAGGTTAAACTCTCATCCACTGGAGGTTAAACTCATCCACTAGGGGTTAAACTCTCTGGGGTTGATTGATTGGTTGTTTGATTGGCTTGTTTGGTTGCTTGGTTGGGGCACGTATTAAAAAGTGAAGAAGAAAGTGTAGTGATGATGAAGAGGAAGAAATACCAAAGAAGGATAGAAAGACGATTATGTGTAAAAGACAAGGAGAGACGGAGGGAAGAGAGGCTATGAAGGGAGACTCAAGCGGCCTTTAATTAAGCCTGATCTAATCTATTTTCTCTAAAGCCTGTTTTCTTTCAAGCCGTTTACCTTAAAATCTGATAATCCGATTTCCTTTAATACTGACTTATATCATTTAGAACCGATTTATCCTCTAGCCGATTTCCTGTAAAACCGATTTTTCTTTAGGTATTACATATTTAGGAAAGTTTTATGTCCGTTTATTATTTCATTCATTTGTACGTCTTATTAACGAGGGATTTATGGGAAGTTCTGTTCAAGTTCAGCTTTAGAGATCTCTCGTTGAGCACTAAACGGTGTGTACCAACGAGTCTCTCAATAAGTGACTTAAAACAAAAGAGAATCGGACCTTTCTGGGTGGTGATTGGTGGATATAATCTCTTAAATTACAGACAAAAGGCGTTTGAATTGAATTGAATTTTATTGAAACAGTTTATTTAGTCAGAAAAACACAGATACAGAGTGGATAATAATAACAATGGCTGAGCCAGTTGAGAACCTGAGCCTCTTGAACTGTAGAAGCGACGTGTTGATTGGCAACTGCAGTCTGCCTCTTGCATTGTAGAAACGATGCATTGATTAGTGGATCCCGCCTTTTGTGTTGTGGAAGCGACGCATTGATTGGTAGAGCCCGCTTCTTGCCTTCTAGAAACGACGCCTCCATTGGTGGACCTAAATTTGTCTTGTCACGTGCCACCTGATTGGCGTAAGTGGGTCACGTAGTCGAATATAGATGCGCGCTAATTGGTGGATTTATAGTTACGTGTCAAGAAGGAGTGGATCCGGATTAAGCCAGAGTGAGGTCCGTTCCCTAAAGTCACGTGACACAACACAACTCCGTAGCTTCCTCCTACCCCAACTTTCGGGAGGGTGCATGATTGTTTGGGTACGGGCTTCTGTGTTTGGGTACGGCTTTGAGTACGTCCCTGTATGTTTGGGTACAGCTCTGTGTGTTTGGGTACGGCCCTGTGTGTTTCGGTATGGCTCTCTATGTTTAAGTACGTCCCTGTGTGATTTGGTACGGCCCTGTGTGTTTGGGTACGGCCCTATTTTTTGGGTACGGCCCTGGGTATGGCCCTATGCGTGTGTGTTTAGATACTGGCCTCTCCGTCCCTCTCGTCCTAATAACTAGAGGGAGGGGTCATCGACGTGTCCGGAACTAAACTTATTGGGACAAATGAGAATTACCACCCCGCATTGTGTGACTTGGCGCCTCCCTGACTGTGGGCGACGGACACACACACACACACACACAGAGGGCGAGAGAGAGAGAGAGAGAGAGAGGATGAAGAAAAAGGAAGTATTTGAAAGATAAAGATAGAGAGAAAGAGACAAGAAAAAACGAAAACTATTTGAGAACGATAAAACATGCATCAAGACTAAACACCCTAGCACTACTAGAGGAGGGGTTAGGTTAGGTTAGGTTTAGAATGATTAATCTTAAGGTGATCCGAATAAGAAAGGAAGAATCACCTTAACCCCAAAATTTTCTTTGTGTTTCAGGAGACAACAACAGCTCACTATACCGGGCAAGACGGACACACAGACATACAAGCGTCCGTCAAGATACAACCGAGAAACAAACTAACACTGGTCAAGGAGACAAAGAGCTTCAGCTGCCACCAAGGACGAAGAGGTCACACAGGCAGTTCAGCAGGCACATAATAGACCAGGAAAAAAAAGCACCAACCAAGGATTTCGTCGGCGGATGTGATTCAGAGAGTGACAGCGAACGAAGACGGGGGTACTATTGATAAACATTATGTCCGGTGATTAACAGAACACTTCGACGAAACTCTTACTGTTAGCAGAAGTTGTCCGTCATCTAGCCAGGTATAGCTCTACGACTCACCTGTATATGTTCCGAGTGTGAGCGGCGGTAGACAAACTTTTGCTGAAGGTTTGGTTGTGATGTGTGACTGACCTACACATCTCGAATTCTACACAGTTTGATAGTACCAGTATCTGTCATCCACCGTGCCATTGACAAGAAAAAGGTGTCAGCGCCGCCATGAACTGAAGTAGTGGTGTTAGTGGAGTTGTAATACATCCGGCCACGGGGAGCTACACACACCATCTCAAATCCACATTCGGCAACTCCAAGGTGAGTGACGTAGGTACTTTTTCCCCCCTGAAGCTTCCGGCCATATCTGTGAGGCAAACAAGTCCATCTGGGTCACCTTTTGTTATGTCTACACCTGTGACGTGTTGTTGTGGGAATGACGTCACTTTCCTGATCAACTGCAGCACAATAACGTCACCAGAATCCCACCAGTTCATGTGTCTTTAACTTAGGTTAGGTTAGGTTAGGTTAGTAGCATATAGATTAATGTTTGGCTAGGTTAAGTTAGTAAGTTAGTTTAGATAAAGTGAGGTTAGATTAGGTTAGTTTAGATTAAAATCACTTAAGTTAGGTTGGGTTACGTGTGGTCGTCAGTGTTAGATTAGCGAAGGCTAGTATTAGGTTAGGTTATTATTTAAGTATTTGGTTAGTTTAGGTTACTTTTAGGTTAGGTTACTGCTAGGTTAGGTTAGGTTAAGCCTACATCATCCTGTGTTACTATATCGAGCCGGCCAGCTGCTCAATGAGGCCTCCAGTTAGCTGTGTTGTGAAGCCTCATATCTTATCTCGTCTGCCATAACAAACACCAGGAGCTTAGACTGATCTTCCGGTGTCACGTGTTGAGACTAATGTTCCCGGCATGTCCATAACCTAACCTAACCTAACCTAACAGTAACCTAACCTAACCTAACCTTTTATTCCTAGGGTTAAACTCAGTACACCTCAAACCCTCGATAATAATCTGATTGAACTGCCCAGACCATTTCCAGTACACCACCTCCCCACCCTGGTTGTTGTGTGCTCACGTCACGACACACCCACTGCCTGGTTGTTGTTTGTTGTGTGCTCACGTGACACCCTGCGTTGTTGTGTGCACGACACCCACTCCAGTTGTTGTGTGCTCACGTCACACACCCACTGTTGTTGTTGCTGTGTGCTCACGTCACGACACCCCCCGGTTGTTGTGTGCTCACGACACACCCACTGCCTGGTTAAGTGCCTCACGTTACACACCCCATGCCTGGTTGTTGTGTCTCACGTCACACCCCTGCCTGTTGTTGTACCACGTCACGACACACCCACTGCCTGTTGTTGTGTGCTCACGTCTGACTGCTGTTGTGCTCACACACCCACTGCCTGTTGTTGTGCACGTCACACACACACATGGTAGCCCACAAATGTCAGACACACCCACTGCTTAAGAATGCCACACACCCACTCCTGGTTGCAACAGTGTGCTTCAACAACGACACACCCACCGTCTGTCAATTACCACGTCACGACGACCCACCCCGGTTGTTGTGCTCATTCACACACCCACTCCTGCTGTTGTGTGCTCAGTCACGTTGGTTTTGTGTGCTCACGTCACGACACACCCACTGCCTGTTGTTATGTGCCACGTCACACACCCATCCTGTTGTTGTGCTCACGTCACGACACACCCACTTACGTAGGTTAGATTAGGTTATATTAACAGGCAGAAAGAAGAGAACAATTAAAAGAACCGCCTGAAGGTTAGGTCAGGTAGGTTATAGGTTAGGTTATAGGTAAGGTTAGGGTGTAGGTTAGGTCAGGTTATAGGTTAGGTTAGGTTATAGGTAAGGTCAGGTAAGGTTATAGGTTGGGTTATAGGTAAGGTCAGGTTAGGTTATAGGTTAGGCTAGGTTATAGGTAAGGTCAGGTTAGGTTATAGGTTAGGTAAGGTTATAGGTTAGGTTATAGGTTAGGTAAGGTTATAGGTTAGGTTAGGTTATAGGTAAGGTCAGGTAAGGTTATAGGTAAGGTTGTAAGTTATGTTGGGTTTGGTTAGGATAGGTTAAGCTAGGATAGGTTAGGTTATAGGTTAAGTTATAACTTGTATTAAAATAAGTTTTATTAGGTTTTCAGGTAAAATAAATAGGGGGGGGGTTAAACTTCACGTGTTCCTATATTTCTCTATCAATAATTATGGTGAAAACACACACACACAGACACACACACACACACACACACACACATGAACTTTTTGATTTACCGAAGCACGAGTCAATCCTTTATGTTCCTTCTGTGGCGCCCCGCTGTATACTGGGTAAGAGTGTAATCAGTTTTCATTTCCTTCTGTGTGGTGTGTTAATTTTCCCCGAACCAGTTTGATCTCACCTTCCCTGAATACTACTGGTGTTCCTCTCTTAGCAGGGGGGTGATAGATGTTATGATTTATTGTGTGAGTGGTTAGGTTAGGTTAGGTTGTGTTTGATTAGGTTATGTTATGTTATGTTTGATTAGGTTATGTTATGTTATGTTCTGACCTCAGTTGTGTTCTGACCTCACTAGGGGAAAGGTCATGGCAGGGTTAGCTCCCGAGGGATAATTATCAGATATGGCCAGTGTTATGTGTGGTCTTGGGTGTGCGAGTTTGTTGACCAAACTGGAGTGGTCCATGGAAGAATTGGCGAGGGCCAAGGAAGAAATTGAGAGGGCCAAGTTGGAGAACCTGAAATAAAAAGAAGAGCTGGCGAGGTTAAGGGGGAAGGTGGGACAGGGAAAGCCAGTGTCTGACGAAAACTCAAGCGAGTGGAAGGTTGTGAGGAGTGGGAAGACGAAGCTGGTGGTAAAGAAATACACCAAGGATACGACAACAACAGCTAAGTGTACCAACTCGTTCAGTCCCTTGATAGACGAACTGGACGTTAGTACAGTCAGGGACAGGGATGACAAGGAAGGTATAAAAATTTTAATTGTTGGTGACTCACAGGTAAGGTACATGGACAGGGCCTTTTGTGGTAAAAACAAAACTAGGATGAGGGTGTGTTTGCCAGGAGCTGGGGTGGGGGATATAATTGACAGGATGGACAATATCTTGTCTGGTAATGGGAACAAACCCATTATCTGCCTCAGTGCAGGAGGCAATGATATTGGCCGGTGTTGGAGCAAGGAGCTTCTTGATAAGTTCAAGGCAGCTATAGATCGTATTAGGTCTAAGGGAGGGATCCCTATCATATGCTGTGTCCTGCCTAGAAGGAGAGTTGGCAGTGAATGGTTGTCAAGGGCGGTTGGTGTCAACGACCGTCTTGACAGATATTGCAAGTCAATATCTGTCCCATTCATTGACAACTGGGACAACTTCTACGGCAGAAGGGACCTTTATGCTAGGGATGGGGTGCACCTGTCTCGGGGTGGGGTGGCAACCCTGGCTGGGTCTCTAGAGGGCGCAGTTCAAAGGATATCGAAGTCTTTAAACTGCTCGGGGAACATATGGGCACAGGGGTGGGGGAAACTGCAGTGGGAGAGGGTAAACAAAGTAAAAGATTACAGGGAAATAGTGTTAGGAATGATAACAAAACTAAATTAAACAGGGAGTTTAAAATTAAACGCGGTAAAGGGAGGACTCAGAACACGACTAACATAAATGTCTACTACGCGAACAGTAGAAGTATGAGAAACAAAATGGATGATATTAGGGCCTTGGTATGTACCGAAAAAATCGATATAATAGCATTCACTGAAACATGGATCAACCTAGACTCACGTGAGTTGCCGGTCGAATACCAAATTGCGGGTTACAAATTGTTCCATACCGATAGGCAGACCAGGAAAAGAGGCCGAGTAGCAATCTATGTTAGGGATAATCTGAAGTGTGAAATAAATAAGGAAATAAAAATTGAGCGGCATACAGAAACAATTTGGATAGAATTAAGCAACGGTAGGGAAAAATTAATCACAGGAGTAATATATAGACCTCCCAATCTTGACAGAGTCAATGAGCGACTTATCTGGGATGAAATGCGCAGGGCATCCATACACAACAAAGTCTGTATAGTAGGCGACTTTAACCTTGGCCAAATAGATTGGACTGACCTTACGGATAACTCAGAATCAGAGGATTTTCTCGAGACGATCCAGGACTGTTTCCTAAGTCAACATATAACCGAACCCACACCGGGTAATAATATACTCGATTTAGTTCTGTCGAACAGAGAAAACCTCATTAGCAATGTCGAGATAGGAAACGAACTTGCAAACAGCGATCACAAAGAAATTAGATTCCAGTTAGATTTTCAGGGCAGATGTAAGGAAAATTCCACTGAAGTACCAGATTTCAGAAGGGCAAACTTTGACAGTTTAAAGAGACAACTGAGAGAGGGGGTGTGGCGCTTGGCCGTGAACCTGACAGATGACTCCGACCTGATAGCGAGATCTGAGAGTGCCGAGTTCCACGACAATTTAAATAATGAGTTACTTAATGCACAAAGGCAGAACATACCATACAAAAAACTCAGATCAGACAACAATGACCCTAAATGGATAAATAATTATTTAAAGAACATCATTGGCCAAAGGAAGGCTATAGGTAGAAGGATAAAGCGTGGCGAAATTTACCTCCAGGATTATTATAAGATATTGGCGAGTCGGGTTAAAACCGAGATAAGGAAAGCCAAGAGGAATAATGAGGTAAGGATAGCAAGGGAGGCGAAGACAAACCCCAAAGGATTCTACCAAATGTATCAAACTAAAACACGAGAAAAGATTGGACCAATACTGTCAGATACCGGCGAGCTCACTGATAACGACGGAGAAATGAGCAATAATTTGAATAAATATTTTTCAACAGTTTTCACCACTGAAAATTTAAACATGATACCCGAGGCACCGACTCTATTCAGAGATAGTGAAGAAAACAAATTGAGGGAGATAGTAGTGACTAGTAACGATGTTAGTAAGCAAATAGACAAACTAAAGCCTAATAAGTCACCTGGTCCCGATGAGATATTTGCCAGAGTATTAAAGGAATGTAAGGAAGAGCTTAGTTTGCCCTTAGCAAAGTTGTTTAACATGTCCTTAAAAACAGGTGTAGTACCTGAATCCTGGAGGATAGTGAATGTAATACCGATTTTCAAGAAGGGGGATAGATCACTATCCTCTAACTACCGCCCAATCAGTCTAACATCAATAGTAGGCAAATTACTGAAAGCAATCATTTCAAACTATACGAAATCACCTGGAGAAGCACAGATTGATCAATGATTCCCAACATGGCTTCACAAGCGGACGTTCTTCTCTAA